AAGGCAGAAACCCGAACAAAAATCAGAAAAAAAAGAGAAAAATATTTTCTTTTTCTATTAAAAAGAGGAGAAAACCACAAAAAAAATCTCCCCCACCCATCCTGTGCCCTTTCCCCCCACCGCCCAGCTCTCCCGCGGTGTTTGCAGTCATGTCTCTTGTGCAGCAGCAGTTCCACCAGTACCACCCCCTCCCAGCCCATGTCCGTCGGGTCCCCCCTGTCGCTGCCTGGACCCCCCTGGGGCTCATCTCTCTTTTTTTTTTTAGGGATCTTTCCTTATATCCCCTCCTATTTTTTTGTGGGTCCCCTGCTTTGTTCCCTCCCCAGCTCCAGCATTTGTCACCGTCCCCCTCCAACCCCATCCCCAGGGGAGGCAATGGGAAATATTTGTGCCTTTCATTATTTTTTTTTAATGCCTTAATTTCCCTTAATTTTGGGTTTTCTTAATTTTTTTCTTGGGTTTTTTTTTTCCTCTCGGCCTCCCCATTTGGGACAGGGACACAAGTCAAAGGGATGAGCTCTGTGTCCCCCCCTGCCATCCCTTTGCCACCCCTTTGTTGGGATCAAATTTGTTCTTAGAGGAGGAAAAAAAAAAAAAGGAAAAAAAAAAAAAAAAAAAAAAAGGAAAAAATACTTTGTTTTCCAGTTTTGTCACCAGCTAGAATGGCCTCGGAGTAATTTTAGCTTTAAAAGAAAACCACTCAAACCCCACCCCCCCCAAAAAAGGGATATAATTTTATTACAGATTATTTAATAGTATTTTTTTAATGGGGGAGTGGAGAGGGGGACAGGGACAGCACATCATGAGTTATTTTGGGGTGGGGGGTCCCCAAATTAGGACAGAGGGATGAGCGTGTCCTTGGTCACCTCTCCTAACCCTGAGGTGGGGGGGAAGGACCCCAGTTTAGAGTGAGGAGGGGGGGCGTGGGGGTGTGTCACTTTGGGGACCCCAGTGTGGGTGTACCCAGTGTTGGGGACACCCCGTTTTGGGGGGGCGGGGAAGGGGTCCCAGATCCCCATCCTGGGAAGAGGAAACAACCCCAGAATGGGGAGAAAGGGGGTGCCAACCCCCGGCAGGGTGCCCAGCTTGCTTTGAGCTGGTGTCCCCCCCACCCCCGTGTGCCCCTGCCATGCTCCCCCCTTCAGTTTCTGTCCGTCCCCCTCCCCCCGCTCACGCTCGCTCTGGGTCTCGGTTCAGTATTTTGTAAGATGTCACCAATGTTCGTCCTTGTATAAATAAACTGTTTCTGGCAATACCCGCCGGCCCCTGCTGCCTTTGGGGGGTGGAGAGGGTCCCCCTGTTTCCCCTTTCCTGTCCCTGTGTCCCTTTTCCCATCCCATTCCTGGCCCTGTGTCCCTGTTCCCATCCCTTGCATATCCCCAAGGCTTCCTGGTGTCCCAAAGTGCCTCACTTTCCCCAGCAATGGGGCCAGGGAGGGGACCAATGTGTCCCCCCCAGCACGTCTGTGGGGGCTCTGTCCCTCCCTACCACTCCCCAGTGTGTGTGTGTGGGGGGGTGTCCCCCTCCCAGCCCTGCCCTGGGGACCACCCAGCTCTGCCTGTGCCCCCCCCGCCATGTTTGCAGGACTCAGGCCCAGTGGGTTGGTTTTGGTGCTTTATTTGGTAAGAAACGAGGTGACCCCCCCGGTGATATAAAGGGGGCTTCCAGCTTGGGAAGGAGGGTCCCATCCCTGCTCCAGACAGGGAAGAACTGGAGCAGCTGGAGGTGTGTGTGTGGGGGGGGGGGCGTGGCAGGTCAGTGACCCCTGGGCTGGGACTGTCCCTGTGCTGCATTCCCAGACCTGCTGGGCACGGGGTACCCCCAGCTCTGCCCCCCCAGGGGGGTCCTGCTGCCCAGGAGAGACAGGGCTGTTAGTGCTACAACTGGGGGGGCCTAGGGGGGTCCCCCTGGCCTTAAGCCACCGGCGATAGGCACAGCAAAGGGCAGAGCCGGGACGGGGGGGGGGAAATCAGCAGAAGGGGGTGGGGACTCGCCAAATCGGTGTAGGGGGGTGGTCCCTGGGGACAAGTGAGGATGAGCAGGGACCCCCTACTCAGTGAGGGGGTCCCCGGGGGTGGGTGAAGGTGAGGATGAGTTGGGAGAGGTGCAGGGACCCCCAGCTTGGCACTGGGGGCAGGTGAGGGCAAGGATGAACCGGGACAGGAGGGGATCCCTACTCAGTGGGGGGGGGGGGTGTCTCTGGGGGTAGGTGAGGATGAGCAGGGACCCCCTTACTCAGTTTGAGGGATCCCCAAAGGCAGGTGAGGATGAGCAGGCATCCCCCTCCTCAGTTCAGGGGGTCCCTGGGGGCAAGTGAAGGTGAGGATGAGCCAGGGCAGGAGTGGGAACCCCAACACAGTGTGGGAGGCTCCCTGGGGGCAGAAGATGATGAGGATGAGCCAAGGGCAGGGATTCCCCTACTCTATGAGGTTGAGAACAAACCAGAATGGGGGGGGGGGGGGGCCTAATTGGGGCGGGGGGGGGTGGGGGGGGGCTCAAGGAAGCTCCTGAGGGCAATGACAAATCGGGGCAGGACGGAGACCACCAGGAAGGGCCCAGCCGCGTAGTGCACAACCACGTGCCTGTACAGGGCAGCCGTGTCCGAGGGCCTGGGCAGCCTGTGCACCAGCTGCAGGGCCAGCAGGGCCAGTGCCGTGCTTGCCACCCGCAGGCGGCCATCCAGGAGCTGCTCCTCGTCCCGGTGGTGCGGAGGGGTCTCGGCAGCCAGGGCCAGCCCCAGAGCACTGCCCACCACCCGGCACAGCGAGGCGAAGGGCCGTGTGTCCGGCCGCAGCCATGCCGGGTCTGAGCACCAGGCGCTGGCCAGGCGGAGAGACCTGCGGGACGAGCTCCGCAGTTGGTGTTCACCCCCTGGCCCAAGAAGGGGCTGTGGGTAGGTCTTTGGGGTAGTCCCCTCCTCAAATGGGGTGGGGGTAGGTCAGGGTGGATCCTGACAGTCTGGTGGGCAGATCCCTGGGGATAACACTCCCCCTTTCCGAAATGTCTGGGGGCAGATCCCTGGGTATAGGACCATGCCCCACCTCCCAAAAACTGTACGGGGCAAATCCCTGGGGTTAGTTTCATCCCAAAATGGTCTGGAGGCAGATCCCTGGGGATAGTATGCTCCCCAGAAAACAGTCTGGGGTAGATCCCTAGCACTGTTCCCTCCAATAGCCTGGACACAGATCCCTGGGAATAATCACCCTCTACCCCGAGGGGCTGATCCCTGAGAATACTCCCCTCAACCCTGGAAGACTGATCCCTGGGAATACCCCCCTCCACTCTGGAAGGCTGATCCCTGGGAATACCCCCCTCCACTCTGGAAGGCTGATCCCTGGGAATACCCCCCTCCACTCTGAAAGGCTTTTCCATCGGGATACTCCTTTCCACCCTGGAAGGCTGATCCTTGGGGATAACCTCCATCCCCCAGGGCACTCACCAGTCAAGGTCGATGCCAGCAGCCATGGCCAGGCTGTGCAGGGCCAGCGCACTCAGCATCAGCACCACAGCCACCGCCACGAAGAACCGGAACACGCGGAAGTTGGGGGGACAGCGCTGCAACCCCCACCCCAGTGCTGACCCTGGCACAGGGGACAGGCAGGTTGGGGACTGGGATGGACTGGGAAAGGGGCTCGAGTGAAGGGGAAGGTGCCCACAATGCCCTGAGCCAAGGTGGGGTGTTGGGACTTGTTCCCCCCCCCATACCCCCCTCACCTGCCAGGATGCCAGTGACCACCTGGTGGGGGAAGTGGGCCAGGACGAAGATCCGGGAGAGTCCCATAGCCACAAGGAAGAGGGTGTAGGCAAATAATGGGATCAGCCTCAGCACTCGGCTGAAAGGGAACTGGGGTCAGTGGTGGAGGGAGGCAGCCCCTGGCTCTGGCTCCGGCCAGGCAGGGCAGGATTGATCCCACCCAGCAGCAGGAATGGGTGAAGCAGAGGTGAAGGCGGCAAGAAAAAATGTTGAGAGGGTCTCACAGCCTCTTCCCAAGCTGCCAGGGGAGGGATGTGTCCCCCTGGAGCTGCCCCACTGGGAGAGGAAGGGATCCAGTCCACGAGGGGTGCCACATCCCACCCCTCTTTTCCCAAAGGTGCTCTGGAAACTTCCAAGCATTGCTTTCCACATCCTAGGGCTCATCCTGCCCACCTCCCTCTTCCCAAAGATGCTCTGAAAGCTTCCAAACAATAGTTTCCCCATCCTAGGACTCATCTTTCCCACCCACCGTGGGTGCTGTCCACCAAGGAGGGGTCCCACATCCCACCTCCCTCTTCCCACAGGTGCTCTGGAAGCTTCCAAGCTCTGGTTTCCCCATCCCAGACTCACCCTGCCCACTTAAGAATGGTCCCATATCTCGCCTCCCTCTTCCACAGGAAACTTCCAAGCAACAGTTTCCCCATCCTAGGACTCATCCTGCCCAACCCCCATGGGTGCTGCCTGCCGAAGACGGGTCCCACATTCCATCCCCTCTTCCCACACATGCTCTGGAAGCTTCCAGGCACTGCCCACCACAGACTCACCTCCGGGTGCTCCGGGCCACCTTGGCTGTCAGCGCGGTGACAAGTGGCCACAGGGCCGCCCCGGGGATCATGCAGTGGCCCGAGGGGCTCCCTGGGTGGGGGGAAGCACATGGAGGGTCGGGGGGAGCTTGTCCCAGCGGGATGAGAGCTGGGAATGACAAGCCTAACCCCTGCCTGTGCTCGGGGATCCCTCCAGACTGGGCCTGGAGGCTCAGGGATGGGGATGGAGCTAGTGCCCGAAACTCCAGGCATGTTTACAGGGAGCCCAGGTGGAGCAGCGCCATTCCCAGACTCTCCCGTGGGTTTCCTAGCCCTGGAGCCGCCGGGCTCTGCCAGCACCGGCACCGTCCTACCCACACCCTGCTGCTCCATCGTATTTCCTGGCCGAGGAACAGCTTTTCTCGCTTCCAGCTCGGCATTCCCACAGGGGCAGAGCCTCCCGGCTCCTGCGGCTCCTCCCTAGGGATCACCGGGTTGTCCGGCTGAAAGGGAAGGAGGCTTCACCTTTGACTCACCTGGGCCCGTTTCGCAAGTGACCGGGAACTGGCGCAACGGGAACTTCTCCAGCTCCTCCCGGGAGAACAACCCAGACTCATGGATCCACCAATACGGGCGTTCCCCGAACAGGAACCTGGACGGACGGAAAACACGGAGCATTCCCGCCCATCCCAGGGGATCAGGAGGGCAGAATACCTGCCATCGATTGCAGGGGATCCATGAGGGCAGGATCCCTGACATCCATCGCGGGGGATGCATGAGGGCACAATCCCTGCCACCCATCCCAGAGAACTGGGAAAGGCAGGATCCCTGCCGCCCATCCCAAAGTATATGGGGATTTGGGAAGACAGAATCACTGCCAATTATTCTGGGATTTCCAGGGATGAAGCGACAGTGAGATGGCAGGATTCCTGCACCAATCCTGAGGGATCCACGAGGGCAGGATCCCTGCTACCCATCCCATGGTATCGAGGATTTGGTAGGGCAGGATCCCTGCCACTCATCCTGGGATTTCCAGGGATGAAGCCACAGTGGGAGGGCAGGATCCCTGAGCCCATTCCAGAGGACTGGGAAAGGCAGGATCCCTGCCACTCATCACAGAGGATTGGGAAAGGCAGGATCCCTGCCACCCATCCCACAGTATCTGGGGATTTGGGAGGGCAGAATCCCTGACAACCATTCTGGGATTTCCAGGGACAGCCCTTGAAGGAGAGCAGGATCCCTGCCCGTCCTGATGCCTCCCAGGGTCTTCCCTGCCAGGAATTCCTAGCAGATGCCTGGGGCAGCTTGGATGACCCTGCAGAATGCCGCAGGGACTCCGTGCTCAAAACTCCCGTGAGCTTCCCTGAGCTGTGTCCCCATGCGAGTGCCACCCCCTGTGCCAACACAGTGCCACCTCCTCACCATTTGAGGACCACGTTGAGCCACTCGGCCACGAGCCCAATCCAGAGCACCATGAGCCCCACCCGAGCATCCAGCCCATGGGCCAGTGGGAAGCAGAAGGTGTAGATGGATTTGGGATCGAAGTGGGACGTCAGGTAGACCCAGAACTGCTCCAGCCAGGGCGGTCCAGACTGCAGGGTCACGGCTGCCCAGATCCCGGCCTCGTGCAGGGCATCCATAGCAGCCGGCTGGCATGTGGGGACAGAGGTCAGCCTTGGCACAGATCCCTCGGGAATTCCCCTGGGAAGGGGCTGGGAGGTGGCTGGATACTGAGGAATCTCTTGGAAAGGGGCTGGGAGGTAGCTGGATCCCTCGGGATTCCTTTGGGAAAGGAGTGGGAAGTGAATGGATCCTGGGGGATGGGATGTCTTGGGAAGGCAGTGGGAGGTGGCTGGATCCAGAGGAATCCCTTGGGAAGGGGATAGGAGGTGGCTGGGTCCTGAGAATTCCCTTGGGAAGGAGCTGGGAGATGGTTGGATCCCAAGGGATGTCTTAGCAAGGATTCAGGGAGTCATTCACCACCTGAAGTTTGCCCACAAGGGATTCCCAAACTTCTGCTCAGGGGGTCCTGGCAGAGCAGATGGGGGGGTCTGGGATGTGGGCCAGGACAGGATCCCAGGGGATTCCTGTGGGAATTGCTGGAGCAGCCAGGCTGCTCCAAAGAGCCCTGATCTGCCTGGGGACTCCTCGGGGTCTTCCCTTGGAACATTCCCTAGGGTCATTCTGGAGCAGGCCTGGGGTCTTCCCTGAAGCCATCCTGGGGCCTCTTTGGGGTCTCCCTAAAGCAGGTCTGGGGTCTCCCTGGGCTCCCTTTGGGGGTCTCTGTGGAGCAGGACTGGGATTTTCCCAGAAACTTCCCTGGAGCTGACCTGGGGTCTCTTTGGGGTCTCCCTCTGGTCTCCCTGGGGTCTCTTTGGGGTCTCCCTAAAGCAGGTCCTGGCTCTCCCTAGGCTCTCTTTGGGTTCTCCCTGTGGTCTCAGGCCTGGACCTTCCCAGGGCTCTCCCTGTCTCAAACCCCGGGATCTCCCCGAGGCCTCTCTGGGGTCTCCCCGGGCCTCCCTTGGCCCCTGAGGTCCGAGGCCTCCCTGGGGTCCCCCTCACCCCAGACCCGTGGCCTCCCCATTGCCCGCAGGACCCTCTGAGCCGCCCTGCCGCGTTCCTCGTCGCTCCCCCCTCACCCCAGTGCGGTCGGGTGGTACCTGCCGGGAGATCTCCATGGCGGGGGGACCCCCCAAACCCTCCCTCCTGCTGCTCTCACCGCCCCTCTTCCGCCTACAACTCCCGGCGTCCCCCACAACGTCACGCGCTGACGGCGGCGCGGGCGGGCCAAACAGAGCCAGGAGCAGGGGGAGGGGGGCGGAACCCCGCGGGCGCTCGACCAATCACAGGGCGGGGCGGAGCAGATCGGCGGGGCGGAGCACCAATCCCCACCCTCGTCGCCGAGGCGGCCCCGCCCCCCGCCGCGCCTGGGCCGAGGAGAGCGGAGCCGCGGGCGCTGCGGGCGGACAAGATGGCGGCGCCGGGCGAGTACTTCAGCGTGGGCAGCCAGGTGTCCTGCCGCACCTGCCAGGAGCAGCGCCTCCAGGGCGAGGTCGTCGCCTTCGACTACCCCAGCAAGATGCTGGCGCTCAGTATCCGCCCGCCTGTGTTTCGTCCCAGTGGTCCCCGGGCCCCCGCCGCGGCCCGCCCAGGCCTCTGCGGCCCGCCTGATATGATGGGGGGGGGGGGGGGGGGGGGGGGGGGGGGGGGGGGGGGGGGGGGGGGGGGGGGGGGGGGGGGGGGGGGGGGGGGGGGGGGGGGGGGGGGGGGGGGGGGGGGGGGGGGGGGGGGGGGGGGGGGGGGGGGGGGGGGGGGGGGGGGGGGGAAAGAGGGGGGGGGGGATGGGGGTCTGAGGGGATCGAGGTGGGCGGCGCCGGGGAGGGGTTTGGGGGAGAGCGAGGAGACCCCCGAGGAGGGAGTGGGGAGGGGTTGTTCTCTCGGGTTTTTGAGGGGGGAAAGGGGGAACGCTGTATTAGGTTGAAGGGGATGCCCTATGGAAGGGTTTCGAGAGGGAGTGAGGAGCCGCTTATTGGGGCAAATGGGGGGTGTGAGGTGCCCTGTTTTGGGGTGAATAGAGGGAGGGGGGGGTGTCCTATGGGGTTTTTGAGGTGAGTGAGGAGCCTTGTATTAAGATGAATTGGGGGGTGTGAGGAGCCCTGTTTTGGGGTGAATGGGGAAGCGGGGTGTCCTATAGGTTTTTTGGGGAGGGAATGGGGTGATTTGTGTTGGGGCGAAGGGAGGGAAAGGGGGTGCCCTACAGAGAGTTTTTCTGGGGGAAATGGGGTGTCCTGTATTGGGGTGAATGGAGTGAGTATGGTGTCCTATAGGGTTTTGGGGAGGGGAGGAACTGGGGAGCCCTGCATTGGGGTGAATCAGGGGTGGGGTGGCCTATAGAGTTGTTTTGGGGGGAATGGGGTGTTCTGTATTGGGATGAATGGGCTTGGGAGGTTTTGGGGAGGGTGAAGAGCCTCTGTGAGGTTATTGGGAGAGGCACCATATAGGGAGGGTTTTTTGGGGGGAGTGATGAACCCTGTACTGGGGTAAATGGGGCGGTGTGAGGAGCCCTATGTTGGGGTTAAGAGGGGCAAGGGGGTGTCATATAGAGGAGGTTTTGGGGGGATTGAGGAGCTCTGTTTTGGGGGGGAGTGGGGTGTCCTTTAGAGCTTTTTGGAAGGAAGTGAGGAGCCTTATATGGGGTGAAAGTGGGGAGAGAGGAGCCCTGTATTGGGGTGAATGGGGGGATCAGGTGCCCTCTAGGGAGGTTTTTTGGGGGAAATGAGGTTGAGAGGGGGGCAGGGGGATGCCCTATAGAGAGGTTTTGGGAGGGGAGTGGGGTGTTTTTTGAGAGTCCTTTAGTGGGGTTATTGATGCGAAGTGGAGCATCCTATTGAGGTTTTTTTGGGGAATGGGGCACCTGGTAGGGCAGTTTTGGAGGGAGTGAGGAGCCCTTTAGTGGAGTTACTTGGGGGGGGAAGTGATGGTGCCTTATAGTGAGGTTTTGGGAGACTCAGGAGCTCCAGAGTGGGGTTATTGAGGAGCCCTCCAATGGGGTTTTGGGGGGGTGGGTGCCATGTAGGAGGGTTCTGAGGGATCCTTGTAGGGGATTTGGTGGGGGTGTAGCTCCATAAGGGCCTGGAATCAGGGGTTTCCCACAGGGCTGGAGGGGTTTTGGGGGGAGACAGGGGCACCCTGTGGGGTTCAGGGAGGAGGAGGGAGGCAGATTTTGGAGGCCTGGGGCATTCCTGGAAGGAGTTGAGGACCTGTTTTAGGGTGCAGAGAGGGCACAGAGGTGTGGTTGGCAGGGCCTGGGGGGACCCACGGAGAATGGGGGAGGCCTGGAGGGGTGGGATCCCATAGGAAGGGGGTCAAGACACCCCTGTGGGGGATTTAAGTGGAGGCAGAATGAGGTCTGAGGGCTGGGGGAGCTGAGGGTTGTAGGAGGAATTTGGGGACCCCAGTGGACTCTCCAGTGTGCTGGAGATGGGGGGTTTGGGGGTGCTGTGGCCCCCCCATACATGTATTTGGGTATGCTTTTGTTTGGAATCTGCAAGGATGGGAAAAGCCAAGGCTGTTGGAAAACCATGGAGGGACCGTGGAGAGGGGAAAAGGGGGATTCCCAGCCTCGGGACTGGGGTTGGAGTTCTGGGAGCCCAAAGGTGGGTTCCAGAGGGAATGAGGGGCTGGTAGAGGGTTTTGTGGCAGAAGCTGTGGGAAATATGATGGGAAAAACCTCCCTGGGTGCCTGGGATGTGGTTGGAGTTGGAGGAGCTCCCAGTTCCGACAGAGTGCAGCAACAGGTGTCTCAGTGCTGCTGGTCTGCTCCAGAGGTGACTGAGTGCTCCTCTTCTGGCTTTTCCCTGAGCCTGGCTCTTCCTCATCCCAAAGCGGCGATGCTCCAGCTCATCTCCCTCTCTCAGGAGAGACCTGAATTCCGTGAAGGAATTCCCTAGCATCCCTTGCTTTCTCCTCATCGTTGAATGCATTTTTTAAGGAGGGCTCCACCTTGGGCTCACAGGGGGCTGGGAGAGAGGAACAGGGACTTCCACAAGGTTCCCTTCCATGAGGAGATGGTGTTGGCATGGAAGAGGCTTTCCATGCTGTGCTCCCTGCTCTGTCCATCCTCATGGAAACAGGTAGTGCAGGAATCCATGCAATCCATGAATTGTCAGCTCTGGAAGGGAGTGGGTTTTTTGGGGGGTGTTTGCAACAGCGATACCAACCTCATGTATGGAGGCAAGGAGGCCTTTCCTGGGAATTCTTTTCCATCTGGGTGTGGGAATACTCTGGATGAGGGAATGCTCCTCTGGATGAGCCACTTCTTGCCAGAGGAAATATTCTGGCGTAAAAAGTGCAGATTTGGTGATGCTGGTTCAAACCAGTGACCAGGCTGTGCTGGGTAGGGCTGGAAAACTCAATCTGGAGTCAGGAAAACTGGGGTCAGCATTACATAATGCCAGAAAGAGACGTGTGGCTTTCCTGGGATCACAGATGACCCCAAGCTTGGCTGGGCAGGGACATGGGAGTGGAGGAACTCGCTGGGAACCCAACCTTCTTCTGATTTGCTCCTGGGCTTTGTCAAGCCCATAAATACCTCCCTCTGTATTTGTTTTCCTTAATTTTTCCCCTTCCAGAATGCCCTTCTTCCAGTGGGAAGCCCAACCACGCAGACATCCTGCTCGTAAACTTACAGTATGTGTCAGAAGTGGAAATAATCAATGACCACACAGAAACGCCTCCCCCCTTAGCTTCCCTCAACGTCAGCAAGGTGAGAGGGGCACTGGGAAGGGAAATCCCTCCTCCCACTGGAATCTGGGGGAAATTGGGCACTGGAACTCACCTGCTTCCATCACAACTGCCTGTAGTTCTGTTTTGGGTCTGGGTTTTGGTGGGTTTGGAGTCTGGGTTTTGGTGGGAT